AGGAGAGTCATACAAGACTGCCTTCTTGAGGTAAAGCGCGTCGAAAATGGTGTAAGTCCGCAGCCGCACTACGTATTGCTTCTGTGAGCCATTTGCGCCCTACTGAAAAATCGTTATTGTTACGTCGTTCGGCTTCATCTGCCTCACTTCCAGGTGTCGCGTTGAGGATTCCCAGTTATGTCTGCTGGCGACATGCTCCCAGATACGGCTCTCTTGACGACGATTGCGTCCTTACAGGAAAAAGTCAGTCGGCTTGAATGCCCATATATTCAGTTGGTGTTTCTAATAGTGCTAATTTCAGATGAGAGATATTTGTGACCTCATACCGATCTCCAGTTGGGGTTTCACAGGTGATGTCCATGAAAAGCTACGGCAAAGAAAACATAGAATGGTGAACCAACAACTGACAGCTAGTAAGCTTTACTCATTCTAGACGAGTCACTGCGAGTTGGTCTTGTCTTCTACGATTATTTGGATTTTCAGAAGAGAAGAAGACACTAACGAAGAACAAGAAGCAGCAAGTAGCGCGATTCGGGGGCGGAGTTTGCTATCGTGTGTCCGAAGTAATTAATCTGCACTCGGCTACGAATGGGAAAGACTCCAAGCTTGAAAAGGTATGGTTCAAAGCCACGTACGTGAATGTGTAGACTTTAGTAGAATGTGCACTATTGAACCATTCTGACCTTGGTAACTCACGATTTTTTTTCGCTGAAACTCTGCCTATAGATGTTATTGGATGTCCTACACGAATATGATATTCATTCCATTTCTGGCGCCATATGGCGCCAATGGGCGACAACATAACGCCACGCTTTCCTCACCGAATTTGATGAAAACTTGTATAGGGGTTATTTGACAACTTGGGGGTTACTTGACATCCTGATCACGAATGTGACAAGGCGCCCTTGGGCACCTTTCCCCAAAATCGCAAAAACTTGCGTAATAGGACTGTTTGATGCCTTGGTCACGAATATGGCATTCATTTCTCCTATACGGCCCCCAATGATAGGCGCAATATGGCACACGCAGCACAATCAATGTTCTGTTAAGGCTGAACATGGGAGAAGTGATTTGACGCGTAAGACCGCCGCTCAGCCTAGCAAAACGCTGATAATCATACTCCTCTTTCATTCAGCGCTGGCTTCCAAAGAGTGACGTCATATTCGTAATTCAAATGAAAAAATAACCCCGTAGTAAGTTCATCGATTTTGGCGATGTAGGGTGTTTTGGCGCCGTGCGCCCTGGGCGACGCGGGCGCTGGGGTTTTTTGACCGAGTGATGTGAATATTCGATTCAGTAAGGACATACTACCTCTGTCGTAATACAAAGGTCGGTAAAAATCCGGCCTGATTTCGGGAGACTGAGGTAGGAATAGTTCAGTAGTGTGCTCTTCAGTAGAAATTTCACAAAGGAAAGATCATGTATCGATCTAGATAATCAGTTATCCAGAGATTGCGTGAGTAGGGAGAATGCGGATGCATGGCTTAGTCCTAGATGGAATCGATTGACTCTGGCGCACAACAACATTTAGAGATTTCACAAAGTTCGACAGAATGCCCATTGCAAGTTATTCGGCAGTGCTACCTCCTTCTAATTCTTTGTTCGTCTTTTTCCTAACTCGATTATCCCTGAAATTGCAAATTTCTTGGATGAGCGAATTCTTCCTTTGTCACTGAGTCTGAAAGTGCATATTCTTTCAGATCGCAGGTTCTCCACATTGTCGAGGCAGAATAGGCGATAATTCAATTCCAGGTTACTTGGTTCATTGCGGTATCTTTCAGGCAACTCCTACGCCAGCTCCGCCCAAGTCAGAGATTACGGAAAGCCGAAAGGAAAACAAAAATCAGAAAGAAAATGTTAGTTTTGTTTCACAAGGATTTTTTTCCCTCGTACCATTCCTTCCCTTACCTTGCCATCTTTATGTTTTTTGCACTCAGTTCGCTTATTCATCTTTTTTTCACCAGATTTTCCAGGTTCAGATGCGGCCGAAGTCGGCTATCAAAATAATTGAGAAAACTGGCAGAAACGAAAATTCTGTCGCAGGAATGGAATCCATGGCTAAGTAAGTTATGAAGGGCTTCCATCAAGATTGATAGCTGCCATCGAGAAATTGACAAAAAGGGTTACACACGAATCGATTTTGCCGATTCCCGGCTTGAGCGTAGTTCGCAACATCGATTCGTATTTGATCTCTTTTGGCAGATCTTCCTTTTCGGAATCCCAGAGCCGAACAGTCCGATTTCAATCTGATTACTTTCACGGATTCTCTGCATCTCCCTGTCTCCAAACAATACGTATGCATTCTTTTTCGCAGATTCTCCAGTCAAGTGCGGTGGCCTTAAAATGGTCTTAAATTTTTATCTCTTGTTCAGGATAACTTTGAAAACTTACTGTATAGGTTCCGTTTCACAAATTATTTGATGTTTTCTACTACTAAACTTAGGGAACGAGTTTCTACCGATGACGACAGCACCGATGAGGAGGTCGAAAATGTCTCTGCCGTAAAATCAAAGAAGCGGCCTACTATCCAGTCTACTCCACTACTGAGTGCAAAAAAGCAGAAATTGAGTGTGGTTCGTTTGCCAAGTATTGTAATATTTCACCAACGTAAGGTGGCAGGCGTCGAACTGTCAAAGATACAACGAGTATTTGAAAATTTCAGGAGCCCGTGCCATGTGAAGCAAAAGACCAGTCATTGAACATTACG